TCAGAGGAAAAGAGGAAGGCCATGGAACACATCAGGCCGAGAAAGATATGAGAAGAACGAACAAAAATTGGACATAAATGGAAAGATATGTCCAGGACAGAATAGGTCAGTGAATCCAGGTTGGCGGCTTATGCTCCATTGGGTTTAACAGGTGTAAGTCAGTAACTTTTCACTGCAACTGTGTCCGATGAATTCAACTAATGCGATTAGTATCTGACATGAAAATTCATTATTAAAATAACCTTGCACTTGTATCCTAAAAGATCTGATCTGATCTGTTGTATTCATCATTGCTTTTGTTCTTCTGTGCTATCTCTGCGGTTCCATTTTATTTTCCCTACCCACAGACGATCATTACCACGGTGTTTTGGCATTGAAAACGACACTTAAGTACCTTGTTCATACAACAACAGAATGTTCACTAGAAATAAACAACTCACAATTCCTGACTAACTCTGCCTGGAGACACTCTGGGGCTACTGGCGATCCCAAACCCAGATAAAGGAGGATGGTTGGCATGGGGTTGGCGACCCCATCACACAAATAAACTAACACTCTAGAAAAACGTTAACTAGAAAACACTAAGCATTAATGCAGTGTATATGAAAAATGTAATTCCTAAACAATTTTTGAATTAGATTACTTTATTACAAAGTAACATGACATATCTGTCTACCCGCTACATTAAACTTACTTACTTACTTACTTACTTACTTACTTACTTACTTACTTACTTACTTACTTACTTACTTACTTACTTATGCACTTACTTATGCACTTATGCACTTACTTACTTACTTACATCTGTAAACCCTAATGGAGCATAAACCACCAACCAGTACTTTTTTTGTTGGCCTGTTTGTAGCATTCTGAATTTCTATGTGATGGGGTAGTTAAACCCATGCCCATCTTATTAATTATCGACTGTATGTAACGTATCTAACAAGACGAAATTTAGGAAATAACTTAAAAGCACTGAATCGATGTATGCGACTCTTTAGCAGTACGTATTTACAACTTTGCTTACAGGAGTCGAATGCAGAACCTTTGTTCTCGTGTGCAGTTGCCTAACATTTAGATCACTCAGCCGGTATCCAACAGTGTTAATGTTTATCTAAAGTTTTCGCTGAACCTTACGCATTATTTTAGGTGGGTAACTACCTCGCACCCAGCAGGACTGAAATTTATTGGTCATGACTTCACACTAGAACTGAGAGAATCCCCTGACGAAGCTGGCTACTACTGAGCACATACGAGGACGAAACGGCTGTACAGTGCTTCTAAGTTTCTTATGATGACCTATCAACTATCGAGTCATGATTTCCGTCGAAAAAACATCAGTCTTCATATATCTATAGCCAACAAATTAATAACGTTTCTTTTTAAGTTTCGAAATATATTTCGTTGATCAGCCTTCACTATATTTATGAGTTTGGTAATAATAACGTAAATGTGTAAATTGCTTGGATGATTGAATAGCCTTAATGTTTTTTTTAATTCCGTAAGATTGATTTGTAGTACCGCACATACATAGTTGAGTTTGTTCACGTTTAGCTTGGTTAAGCCCTTTCGATTCATTTTTTTGACAGCCAGAGTTATTTGTATATAGCAATAACTTGTCTGTACCATTGCGCTTTTATTATTGTCGCGTTTGTATGTGTTAGGATATTCATCCAATATACTCAGAGAATTATTGGTCAATTCCTATTGGATAGTTCCTACTGGTCAATTTTATGATCGTCCTAGATATGTCACGTGCTCCAATGTTGTTTCTTATTGGTTGTCTTGACTATCCATGTGACTTCAAATGTTGCTTCCTATTGGTCGTCTTAACTGTTAACGTCACAGAATTCGATGCTGTTTCATATTCGACCAAAATGTATAAATACGCATTATCTGTAACGTTTAATGACCAGGACCAGGACCCGGTCCCGGATCCCTAGTCCGTGATCCTGATTCTCTTCTGGATTCAGACCTCGTACTTTCTGAATGCTTGTAGAATACATGTTCTACTTCATATCAAGTCTTGTATTCTTTTACTCAATATGGGGGTTGGGATAATCGGATTTGAGTGGCATGTTGTATCACCGGATCCTCGATCCTTGCTCTCGTTTTCCGACTAAAGTAAACTCATTTCCCAACAGAGTTCGATCCCATATCCTACATGCAGCAGAAGCCATAGGAATTCGTAAATTCAACCCGAATTTACGTGTTCAGTATAAATTCCTGACAACCTTTTCTCTTTCGTGGCTGGATATAACTTCACCAACTTTTTTTCAAAGAAATTTTCTTATGTTTTGATTTGATTTTTGTTATTATTATTATTCTTAGCATTATTTTCACATCCTGTATTTGTTGGTAATTCTCTGCCTCTGTTCTTCACTATCTAATTATTGTCACACAATTCTTATTATGCAATGGTTTTAATGTTTTGTAATGATTATTTTAAGTCTAGTTATATTCACGTTTGACCTACTATGGATAAAAACACCTGTCTTCCTAATACAACCTTAGGCCATTAAATAACTTAAAGATTATCAGCATTAATCCAAGGCCACTTTATGTGACAATTTTCTGCCCTTTTTTATTGCGTATATATGTGTGTGATTGTTACGCCTGCACGAAAGCACGTCAACTCGATATACTTGAGCTATTACGAGTTTTCCTTAGTCGGAAAAACGAGAGCGAGGATTGAGGACCGGGCGACACGACATGCTACTCAAATCCGATTATCCCAACCCCCATATTGAGTAAAATAAGACAAGACTTGATATGAAGTAGAACCTGTACTCTAAAAGCATCCAGAAAGTACGAGGTCCGAATCCAGAAGAGAATCAGGATCCCGGACTAGGGATCCGGGTCCTGGTCCTGATCGTGGTCATAAAATGTTACAGATAATGCGTATTTATACATTTTGGTCGAATAGGAAACAGCATCGAATTGTGTGGCATTGACAGTTAAGACGGCCAATAGGAAGCAACGTTCGAGGTGACATTGGCAGTCCGCATGACCAATAACAGACAACATTGAAGTATTTGACTTTGACAGTTAAAACGAACATACTTTTGACAGATAGAAATCGACCAATATGATTTGATCAATAATTCTCTTAGGATATTGGATGAACATCCTAACAGTGATAAGATTGTTCGAAGTGTAATAGCACGCAAACACATCAAAGCTTCTTTCAAATCAACTGTCTTCCCATTGTTCTGTCAAAATTTTTAAGCGACAGTTTCAAATGTGATGACCGTAACACCAGCGTCACTGAACAACAGCATCTCCGTCATTATGATGTTTTTCAATTAGAGTTATGGAGATTAGTTTTTTTACACTCATTGTTAGACCGCCATTAAAAAACTGTAAGCACTGGATGACCGCTTCGTCCTGGTATTGGACTCATCAGCAGCACATATCCAAGACTCTTTAACTCGCAGGATTCGAACTCAGGACCTTCGGTCTTGCGCCCGAACCCCTAACCTCTGAAAAATTTGTTTTCTTACATGACTTATTTCATTCATGTAAATTGCAAAAAATCACGCTTGTGGTTTGTATTTATACGAAACATGTACAACCATCACTCGCCTTACTTTCGGCACTATGAAAAGCTGTATCACTAATTTCAACGTGTTCTTAAACAACGTAATTTGCTCATTCAGACAATCCTTACTAAATATCGCCTGACGGTGTATAAATCAGAAGGCGAATACAAAGTGTTGAGTACATTTATTTTTGGCAGACCGCAAATGGACCAGCAAATCACAAGCACACATAGAAGGACAAGCACGCTCTACGGGTGAGCAAGCGAATCAGCGAATAAATGAATAAGATAAAAAATGTACATATATATACACAGAATAATGGCTGGGTCATCAAAATATTTAAGAGGTTAACATTAAATCAAGTAGTCTGAGTATTCAGGTATGCGATAAGCAAAGTTCAGACTTATCAGGTCATACAAACCAGACAACAGTAAAAGCCAATGGTAAACATATAAGTTGTTGCCATAAAAGTGGCTTGGTTAAATAAGTTAATCGAAAGGGCTTAAACAAATTATTAAATATGAGTGAACTTTAATTTTGTATGTGGAGGCACTATAACAAAGCCATTTACAAATAAATTATCATCTGATGCTTTCAGATTTCTAATGGTGGTCTAACAATGATTGATTGATGATTTCAAATGTGTAAAAAAAAACACAAAACCTCCAAAACTCTGCCCGAAAATATCGTAACAGTGCTCACTAGTGACAACCAGCTTCGTGAGGAAATTCTCGGAGTTCTAGTGATGAGAAGACGTGACTAATGGAGTTCAACCCTGTCGGGTGTAGGCAGTAACTACCAAAGACAAATGGGTGAGGTAGCGCAAAAATCCGTAGATCAATCAGAGTTAGACATTAACACCGTTGGATGCCGTCTCAGTGGTCTGATGGTTAGGCATCCGCGCACAATATCGAAGTTCCTGGGTTCGAATCCCGCAAGGTGCAGGAGTCTTGGATGCGCATTGCTGATGAGTCTAACATCAGGACGAAACGGTCGTCCAGTGCTTCCAGGTTTATAATGGTGGTCTTACAATGATTAACTGATGATTTCAAATGTGTAAAAACACAAAACCTCCCAAACTCTGCCCGTCAATTGACCTAGCTTTCCTCATTATTCTTACGTAGTTTATTGTAAATAACATTGATTGTTTTAGTTATATTATGTAATTAGACTTGGATTTCGAACTTCAACCCAGAGAGAGAATTTATCCATGTTCTTACTCAATGTGTACTGGATTTGTTTTATTGAAATCATTCAATGTTCAGTTAACACATTTCACTTTTGTTTAATTTTGATTTCAATTTAAAATGGTTTGATATTTTGACAGAACCTGGTAATTCAAATTGAATTAAATTTTTTATTTATTGTACAAATGAGACAAGCTGTCTGAATTGATTAGTTGAGTGGATAAGGTAATGACGGTTTTAGAATCAAACGATACTGGGTTCGAGTCTCAGAAGTCGACATCAACTTTGAGACTCATGTACATCTGAAATAGAATGAAATGTGCCTCCCTTATTCTACAACTATCCACATTCTTTTTTTCAATTAGAGTGATGAAGATGAGTGTTTTTACACTTTGAAATCATCAATCAATCAATCATTGTTAGACCACCATTAGGAACCTGCAAGCACAGAACATCCGTTTCTTCCTGGTGTTGGACTCATCAGCAGTGCGCATCCATGACTCCTGCACCTCGCAGGATTCAAACCCAGGTCCTTCGGTCTTGCGCGTGAACGCCAAACCTCTGGACCACTGACCCGACATACAACGGTGTTACTGTCTAACTCCGATTTTCGCGCAACCTCAGCTCAGTGGTCCAGAAGGTTGCGCGAAAATCGGAGTTAGACAGTAACACCGTTGTATGTCGGGTCAGTGGTCCAGAGGTTTGGCGTTCACGCGCAAGACCGAAGGACCTGGGTTTGAATCCTGCGAGGTGCAGGAGTCATGGATGCGCACTGCTGATTAGTCCAACACCAGGAAGAAACGGATGTTCTGTGCTTGCAGGTTCCTAATGGTGGTCTAACAATGATTGATTGGTTGATTGTTTGATGATATCCTTATTCTGTTTTATTCTATTGATTCCTGTTATTTTCATAAAAATATTGGAGCTTTTCAAATGGTCATTGCGTGAACTACACACTTGACTGATATTGTTATCAAAATGAAATTTATCCATTGATATACAACCATAATCAAAGGCTTTTTCACTATATTCGTCTATTTTTCTTTCCTTAAGTGGATACACGCAAATTCATTTCCATTTTAGGAGACTGTTAACAAATGAGATAATTATTTAAATAAATCGATGTTATCATTAAATAAGAAAGTTCCTTTTTCGTTCGTTTTAACACTAACTATTATCTAAATGACAAGTTATTATGTTTTGTACTGCTGTAATGCGTGATCTCAATCATATTACCAATTGTCTTCGGTAGGTAAATACCTAACACTCGACAAGGTTGAACTCTAATAGTTACGTTTTCTCATTAAAACTCTGAGAATTCCGTCATGAAGCCGGGTTATTGGTGAGCACATTTTATGATTTTGAGTAGAGAATTGTTCGAAGTTAAGTAATAACACCATTGGTTGTCGTTGTTGGGGACTTTAGATCCCCACAACTCACAGTCTTAACTTTAGTTGTATGTTTTCGCGCATAAGTTGATCAGTTGACTTTGAGACTACATTTCCCACTCGCAAGATCCTTGACTGTCATTGGATGATGTGTTATTTTAGTACGCTATAGTTGTGGCTCTCTCGAGGACGTTTCTTTCATCTATAAATGAACTCGATTTGTGTGCTTGCGATCCTCGATTTTTCTGGATGCTTGTAGAATACACTTTGTACGCCTTATCAAGACTTCTTCATCTACTTAGTGAGGCATTGGGATGCTCGGGTTAGAGTAGCCTATCATGTCACTGGGTCATTTGTCTTCGCTCTCGTTCACCGACTATGGTGAACTCGTAATCGTTTCAAGCGTATCAGTTGACGAGCATATTAGTCGGCTCAATAATCTAGAGGTTAAGCGTTCGCATACAAAACGGAAAATTTCAATTCTTCCTGAAATTTGTGATGATGATGTTGTTTTGCAGAAGAACAATCAAAGCTCCACAACCAAAAGAACATCCAACTCAGAGAATGAAACTACACCACAATCGTCTACTTGAGCTACAAATATGGAGGTGATATAATGTACACAAGTTTTTTTTTAACTGTGGCTGTTTCGTCTCATGCTGTAAGTTACTTTGGTGATAATGACAAGAATGTGTCTGTTGTAAACTGCCGGTCCACAGTGCTGCTTGATAAAAATACAACTGATGTGCATATGTTTTATGTTTTTGAAATGGAACGAAGACATTCTGTTTCATCATCTGCCACCAACACTTTTTATACAACTGGTACAACAACAACAACTATCAACAACAACAGTCAAAGCGTGAAAGTGAATGAGAAGCTGAAGTTGTCTTAAACTCTAGTTACAGTTAAGACGTTGATAATGGATATATCAAATAATTTGAATGTTGTGCCACTAGTTTCAGGTGTAGAAGCTACGACATCAATGACTCCATCATGTCAGCTGTTCGGAGCTGGGTTCGGTGGAGACGAAATCCTGAATAGAATGACAGTAGCCTCTCAACGAGCCATACATGTTCATGTGATTTATCAAGACGAAGATTAAATAAAGACCTCTGGCTCGAAATATCAAGGAATCCGGAACGTATTAGATGAACCTGACGCGTAGCTAGAGTTGCTTTGTAGCTCATGAATGCATTGGTTGTCGATGTACACTGCCACTGATAATTCCCATACTACAACAACACAACACCCATCCTATGCTTCTCCATATCTAATACTGCTGTAACACTGATCAACATAATCATTTTCATTCATTTCGCCACTAATTAAAAAACTACCAGTATGTTTTTTATTAATGTGATAAAACAACAGCTCTATTTGACTAATTCATTGTACATTGAATCAAACTAACAGTAATAATAATAATAATAACAGTAATAAATCAGTCGATCTAGTTTACATTAATTTAAATATCTCTTGAAATTTTCACTGTATCTAATAATGATTCACAATTTAGCAAGATTAATAATAATTTTCTAAAACCACCATGTGTTTCTGATTGTAATGTTTTCGCTAATGGTTTATAAAAATATTTTTCATACATTTCTTGTATGTCGTGTAAATCAAGCTGTAGAAAGAGAAATACAGAGAGGGTAGACATGAATCATCAAAAAAATTATTAAAAAAGATTCTCATTGTACAACATCAGAGTAGAACAAACAATGTGGGGGGATATAAGTGAGCAATTAGTTGGTTGTCATCAAGTTTTATACTCCTAATGTTAAATCAGTCAAAGCAATTTTGATTGTTCCTACTGTATGATCAGTACACCTGTTTTCATAATCTATTAAGTTGTACTATTCTACCTATCATGTGTGAAGTTACGTGATCTCTGTTTCATTTTATTGTGATTGTAAGATCCATTTTTTGAAGGCTTTGTTTGTGAAAATTCCTCCATATATATATTTGTCATTTGTCCTTATTGATTCCTTCAGTTGTACATGTTGTTTAATCTGTTCAATTCCATTTTGAGGCGATGATAATATTTGTATCTTATTATAGTTTCTATTTCTTCTGCCTTTATTGAGTTTCTTATGTTTCTTTCTGAACTGCATTTATGTTGTTTAAGCTGATACTTAGTTATGGCGACAGTTATATTGATTTGTTCTTCTTTTGATTATATTGCTTACTTGGACTGGAATTGTGCATTTTGATTGTGAATTGAAGCACTTTTCCAGAATAGGAAACACTCTGTGTTATAAAGCAACCAAATATTATCTTTTGAAGAAATCTGATCTATCCTGGAGGGATAGGATATCATTTATTTGAATAATTGAACAGTTGTTGGTGTAATAACTGAGCGGTTATATTTGTTTAGGTAATGATGTATAGTTATATTTATGATGAATATTAGAACTGTTATATACCCAATCACTTGTTTTGAATTCAACTGGTCAAGACGCGTATCTAAACTAGCTAGACAGTTATTCCTCAAACTAAACCTCAGTTTGGACACTTCAATGTTTATTATTGTGACTTGATATGGTTTTTGACATTTTCATATTCAATGAGTAACTTGTTAAATAGTAAGTACTATTGTGACTACTGCACAATAGTCAAAAAGAGCTCTAAGTGTCATGATAACAGGGGTAAAGATTATTTTTAAAAAGATGGATATTTAACACAATAATTATAAGATCACAATTAGAAACCTGCAAGGACTGGACGACCGTTTGGTTCTGGTATGGGACTCATCAGCAGTGTGGGTCCATGATTCCTGCTACTTGCTGGATTCGAACTAACTCTGCTCAATTTAAGGATTTTCGCGCGACCTCACCCATTTTCTTCGGTAGTTACTGCTGACACTCAGCAGGGTTGAACTCCACTGGTCACGGCTTCTGACTAGAACTGGGAGAATCGCTTCACGAAACTAGTCATTATTGTAATTGTTTTAATCAAACTAACAGTTATTCACTTATTTTGTATAAAACAGTTAATACTGACTATTCATAAGTTCGTTTGTGAAGCAGCGCTCATCGTAAACAGTGGGTAAGAGATTGCTCAGGACCTTGGATCAAGCATTAACATGGTTAGATACCAGCTCAATGATCCAGAGGTTAGGCATTCTCTTACAGAACCAAAGCTCCTGAGTTGGAATCTTAAAAGTAGCGGGAGTCGTGGATGCCCACCGCTGATGAGTCCCATACCAGAATGAGGAGACTATTCAGTGCTTTTAGGTTTCTGAAATTGGTCTAACATTGATCGATTTATGATTTGAAAGTAATTGAAGAATTTGCACAACGTTACATTATTGTAACTACTTATCAGTTTGACTTGAGAATTGTTGAATAGGTATATTTTATTGGACAACATAGTTTCTATCGATGGAATAAATAACTATTCCGTATAAGTTGCTGTAATATTTTTTGTATTCACTAGTTTCACAAAACTAAATTCCAAATTAATTGATCTTTGATGAATTTCTGATTTTTTTAAAAAAAACTATTCACTACTGAATATTGATTTTTTCTCATAAGATTAGATTACGTTTTCTTGTTGGTTATTCATAAATCAAAGAAAGGACAATTTAAAAAATGAATTGAAAATTTGTTTTTCTAGATGTGCATTTGAAATCGCGCTTGTTTAAATCAGCTCTATTCAATGTTCATTTCGTTAATTATTGAAAATATTTATGTAGTGAGATAATTTAAAAAATTAAAAACGTATATATGTATAACTTTCATTGTAATTTCACATAGTATGAGTTTATACCACTAATTAGACAACTGCTGAAAGTTAGAGAAAGTAAATATCATTTGTATGCCAAGAGATTTAATAAGGAGGTCTCTTTAACTGCAGTATACAAGATTCTTTAAAAATATAAATCTGAAAGCCAGTAATTGATATTTTCATTGTCAGTGAACTTGTCACATAAGACACTCTGAACAAAACGGCCGGTCTAACAGTGATCGATTTTATGATTTTCGAAAAGTACTTCGACAATCTCCACAACCCTCTCATGCAAATTATCATTTTCTCACTAGTGACTAGCTCTGTGAGGAAGTTTCTCCGAATTCTAGTGAGATGTTGTGACCAGTGTAGTTCAACCCTGTTCAGATGTGAAGCAGTGCTCACCGAAGACAGTAGATGAGGTTGCTCAAGACCATGGAATGACAGAAATTAGAAAATAACAACGTTAGATACCGGCTCTGTGGTCTAGAAGTTGAGCGTTCACCCACAAGGCACGAAGATCCTGAGTTCGAATCCTACAAGTAGGAGTGGTAGATGCGCACTGCTAGGACGAAACAGCCGTCCAGTGCTTCGCGGTTTCTAATGGTGGTCTAACAATGATTGAAGTGTTTATTAACAGTTGTCTATGCAAAATACTCCGGAATCGTTGGCAAGACACGATCAGCAACAACGTACTGTGGGAGAGAACAAACCAGATTCCAGTGGAGCAGGAAATCAAGAAAAAGCGGTGTAAGTGGATAGGACACACACTGAGAAAAGCAGCTAACTGCGTCACGAGACAAGCCCTTATATGGAACCCTCAAGGCAAAAGGAAAAGAGGAAGGCCAAGGAACACACTACGCCGAGAAATAGAGAAAGATATGAGAGGAATGAACAAACATTGGACAGAACTGGAAAGGGAAGCCCAGGACAGAGTTGGTTGGAGAAAACTGGTGGTTGGCCTATGCTCCATTGTGGGTAACAGGTGTAAGTAAGTAAGTAAGTAAGTAGGTACAATGATTGACAATTACAACTCAACGATAAAACAGTTAGTTTGATGAGTAAATGATTCATTCTTTCTTATTAAGCAAACACAACTCATAAAAATTTGTCCTTAACAACACACAATGTTGATCTAACTCAATCTTTTTTCATTCTGTTTAGTGAAATGAACTTCTTAAAGTACACAAAATGTAGTACAGTTTTTCAAATTATTTTTAACTCAAAAAAGAAAATTAAAACTTAAGGTTACAAAAGATCAACCAACTTTTAGTTAGTCAACTAAGCTTAATCAATACAACTCAACGTCAATGTTTTTGCTCTTAAAACATTATTAATGTGTATTCAAAGTCCATGACAGTACAAACAATTAGGTGGTATGATGGTGAGTTCTGTGCAATCTTGATTTTATTGGTAATTAGTGTTTGGCACGTTAGATTGCCAGAACTCACTTAATAAAGGTCCTAATTTTCGTTTTTATTCATGAGCTGATCGGTTGACCTTGAGATCTTATTTACTACTCGGAAAATCATTGGATATGATTGGTTGATGTGTTATTTAGTGTGCAATTTCTGTGACTCTTCGGAGGACGTTTCTATCTTGTACAAATATATGAGATTTGTGTGCTTGAGATCAAGATATTTTCTGGGTGCTTGTTGAATACACTTTCTACGCCATATCAAAACTTTCTCTTCAGTTAGTAAGGGCAAAGGATCAGAGTAGCCTATTGTGTCACTGGGTAATTGTCTCGTTCTCGTTTATCAACTAAGGTGAACTCGTAATAGTTGCAAGGATATCGATTGACGAGCATAACAGTTAGACAAAGGAATGCTAATTGAAGTAAGGTTGGAATATTCATGTTAAAATCGATAATAACCCAACGTACAACTCTGTAATGAATAACTAGTACCGGAATTAATCTTTTTGTTTGCTTAAAAATATGAAGTTAACTGGCCAAATGTATGTTGAAGTACTTTTCATAATGAATGCAAATCGTAATGAATTAATTAATGTATACTCTGTGACGTTTTCCGATTTATCAGAAAGATGTTCCAAGAAATGGCAATATGTATTACTTACTTACTTATTTACTTACTTAGGCCTGTAACCCCCAATGGAGCATAGGCCACCCACCGGTTTTCTATAACCTACTCTGTCCTGGGCTCGCCTTTCCAGTTCTGTCCAATTTTTGTATATTTTTCTTATGTCTTTCTCTATTTCTTGGCCTTCCTCTTTTCCTTTGATCTTGAAGGTTCCATGTGAAGGCTTGTCTTGTGACGCAGGTGGATGATTTTCGCACAATGTGTCTTATCCACTTCAACAACGTCTTTTTGATTTCCCCCTCCACTCAAATCTGGCTTGTTCATTTATGTATATATAAATATACATATTCCATTTATCGAAAGCTTCCACCTTACTCATCAAACCTTTGTTATGCAACTTATTAACCCGATTTTGTTGCCAACCAATTATATATACATAACCAAACCTATTCTCATTCTTCTGGTGAGTTACTGGTTTATGAAGGCGTCAGTATCTGAAGGGAAGCACGGAATACAATGGACGGCTAGGATGTAACTGGACGTTCTGGAATTCGCAGATGATCTAGTTCTTCTATCCCACAGACACAGCAACAAATGCAGGAGAAGGCGGCCAAAATAGACCTACAGAAGTAGGTATGAACGTACGCAAGGGAAAAGCAAGATCCTGCAATACAACACAACATGCACCAACCAAATCACACTTGATGGAGAAGCTTTGAAGGATGTAAAAAACCTTTACATGCCTTGGCATCATGACTGATAAACAAGTTAGATTTGATACGGATGTAAAGACGCAAATTGGGGAAAGTAAAGGGTAGCATTTTTACACTTAAAGAACAACTAGAACTCAAAACAATTATCAACCAACACTAAAATTCAGAATTTTCAAAACAAATGTCTAGATATATCTATTACCATTATCCAAGAGATATACTATGGTACAGAACCAACCAGATTCTAGGTGAAGAAGAAATCTGGAATAATCGCTGGAAGTGGATAGGACACACATTGAGGAACGCACCGAACTGCATCACAAGAAAAACCAGCACACTTGGAATCTTCGAGGTCAAAGCAGAAAAGGAAGGTCAAACAACACATTAGGCCGAGAGTTATAATCAGTGGTGATTGAGTAGAACTGGGAAGGAGTGTCCAGGATTGATTAGGTTGAAGTATGCTGATCATTGGCCTTTGCCATATTAGGGGTAACAGGTAAATGCTTCGTTCAACTAGTCTTTGTAAAAATGCTCATGTCACATATATTTAAGTCAGTTTGAGCATGTCTTACCTCACATCGAAGACAAATTATTCGGATAATTGAATCATCATTTGATCCTAAACCTTCCATACTACAGTAAAGTTGACAGGTCAACAGTAAGCGTAAATCGATCAATGACATAACTGCAGTAATAAAATAAAGAGAAAAAAACACAGGAATTAATATGGTATTATTGATATGGTATGTTGATAACATACAATTTGTTGTAGTAATGAATAACTAGTACCAAAGATTCCGCGTCATATATTTTTGTAGAAGTAAATAGATATACACTTATATCATGTTATTTTACTGAAATTATGAATCACTCATTGTCCGACCACTACTGAAAACATGGACGGCTGCCACGTCCTCATATGGGAGTCATCAACAGTGCACTTCCATGACTCCTGGTACTCGCAGTATTCGAACCCGGAATCTTTGGTCTTAAGCATGAACGCCTGATCTCTGGACCACTGAGCCGGAGTCCAACGGTCATAATGTCTAATTCTGATCAGTTTAGAGATTTTGCACAACTTCATCCGTTTGTCTTAAGTAGTTACTGGCTATACCCAACAAGATTGAACTCCATTGGTCATATCTTGTCACTAGGACTCCGAAAATGTCCTCATGAAGTCAGTCACTAGTAAGTGTATTGTACTATTTTTTCATTTAGAGTTACTGATAATCAAATATGGTTTTCAATCTGTTACAAATGCACGCAAACACGTCAGTTGATACGCTTGAACTATTACGAGTTTACCTTAGTCGGAAAACGAGAGCGAGGGTCGAGAATCCGGCGTTACGACAGGCTACTCTAATCCGATTGTCCCAAACCCCATTGAGTAAAAGAAGAAGACTTGATATAAAGTAGAACATGTATTCTACAAACATCCAGAAAGTACGAGGTCTGAGTCCAGAAGAGAATCAGGATCCTGGACTAGGGATCCAGGTTTGGGTCGTAAAACACTACAGATTATGCGTATTTACACAGTTAGGTCGAATAGGAAACTACGTTGAAGTATGTGACATTGATAGTTAGGACGACCAATAGGAATCGACCAATAGAATCAGATTTACAAAATAATTCTCTTCGCCTGTTGGATGAATATCCTAACAGTAGCAAACATAAAATGATATTTTATTGAACTAAAGTGCCATCCATTTTATTATTTTTCGAACTGAAACAATAAGTTGGTTACCATAGAACCGAATGATTGTTGCTTATTTCTGCTTATTTAACTTTGTACAAACAAACGCAATAGAATATAACTTAATTCAAAATAATCACTATATAGTCTTACAATAAATCTCTCTTTAAATGAACTGAAGCCATTAGAGTTCAACTATTCACTGATTGAATCTAGTTGATAAGAAAATCATAAAGTTAATATATATATATATATATATATGTACTTTTATGGGTATGAGGTGGGATGTAACTTCCCGGTTGTCCACAACGTGGGAGGGTTCTGGTTGTCAGAAGGGGACAATCGAGTAAGCAATGCTATTGTGAGGAAACCAGTGCTAGGTAACGAAAGAACGTCAATAGATGAAGTATTGGAACTTCGTCAGTTGAGGTGAATGGTTGGTTACGTATGCCTAACCACCGACTGCCGCGACAAGCTATGTTTTGTGGTGTAGGAGTAGGTTGGAAGAAAGCTAGGGGCGGCCAAACCAAAACATGGCAGAAATCCATGAAGTCATTGACGAGTGGACTGAGCCATGTCGGTAATTGTCGACTACCTGGTTGGGGTCCACGAGATGATAATAATCGATGGTTAGAGACCTTGAATGACATGGCTCAAAATCGTTCGCAATGGCGCCGGTGCATTTATTCTCTGTGTTCTCTCAAATCCTAATCTTCTGGATTATTCAACACCTCTAGTTTTGACTTTCTAAACGTTTCTCACTGAATCATACTTCTTGAATAATATCTTCTAATCCTAACCTTTCCGATTACTTCTAGTACCTTAACTACCTCTACTACTATTGTATTTGAATTGACGATTACATCTCTGTGCTGATGTGGTATGACGAAGTGAACTGATGTACGTATGTACGAAGTTCAACGTTGCTATTGATTGATTGAATGATAAATTTCTGCAAAACACAATTCACTTACTGACAGTATTCAATGCATTACGAAGAGGATTTGCAAATTTTCTCGATATTGAATCGACTAAATGAAAACCATATTTCTAAAATAAAAACCAATTATACAATCAAAAATAAATGGACAACATTTTTCATAAGAACACATCACCTTATTAACCTCAATTTTCTTTAGTTAAAATCTCGCTACTGCGAACAAAACGTCTCTCGACATGAGACAAAGGGTTACAAGTGTATCTGAGCCAATTTGCATCAAGCTGGGCTGCATTTCTTGCTATCCTATGTCATTCCATGTGTATACAATAGGCTATAATACTTACTATACAGAGCTGAAGGCTTTCTATGAGACCAAAAAGGTTTGTTATCAACATTGTGAGTGGTTTGGAATTGATTTGGGCAAGTCTTATTAAAAGTCCATGTACAAAATTGGTTAGCAATGCAACCGATTTAATTGATACTAGTGGTTTTTGTGCAACATTCCCACAGGCCACTGTCATTGAGACTCGCTGTATTACATATCACCACTGCTAATAATAACGAATTTGACAGTCATGTAAGCGAGATGGGTCAAAATGGCCTGTTCATGCTGTGCATATCGGTTGACGCGATTATGGATCGGAAATAATCACTTTATCTGTGAGTGTATATAAATGGTGTGAACGTTCTACCAGGGTGTCAAGTACCTGTGTATGGGTTTCTCCACAGGAGAGAGGTGTACTATTCAGGTTGTAGCACTAACTAGTGGGCAGTGTCTAGTTCTCCTGAAAACCAAACACAAAATTACCCTTGCTTTTGATGGTGAATTAATATATTTGTGAATGATATAATTATTGATTTAAAAAGTATTTAACACACATTAACAAATGTCATAATTAACCAAGATCGTTCTACCAGTATGTTGGGGACATTAGATCCCCAAGAACTCACTTGGAAAAGATCCTAATTTTGGATTTTTTATGTTTTCTTGCATAAGCTGCTCAGTTGACCTTGAGACTACATTTCCGATTGGGAAAATCCTTGACTGTCATTATTAGTTGATGGAATAGTTTGGCACGCTATTTTTTGTGGCTCTCTCAAGGACGTTTCTATCATGTATAAATAAACACGATTTGTGTGCTTGTCAAACTCGTATTGTCTGGGTGCTTGTAGACTACACTTCCTACACCTTATCAAGACTTCTTGATATAGTTAGTGGGGCCTGGAACAACGAATAAGAATAGTCTATCGTGTCACTAGATCATTTGTCTTCGCTCTCGTTTACCGACTATGATGAACTCGTAATAGTTTCAAGCATATCAATTGACGGATGTATCACAGTAAGAAATCTTTGTTTCTATTTTGTAAATTCTCACCTATTATTGGATCATGTTAGCCCATATTGAATAGCTCTACGTTCATGGACATAAAACTTTCTCCTAATGAAACCAGACGATATTAACCGAAATCACATCAAATCTATGGTTTCCGTTGATGTTTTTAACGTCACATATGAAAAGTTATGTTTAAAATATACCATAGTGTTTTACTTATCGTGCTTTGGGTATGATATGTATTCAATAAAAAATTAACTAGCCCATTGCATGACTGTGTGGTTTTGTGAATGAATTTTTAAAAAGATTTGAACTCCATTAACCCACCACATCATTTTTCTCTATATTTTGACTTACTACTTACTAACAATAAGTAGTTTAAATCTATCTGATCATTTTTAATTATCAACTAATCGGAGTTAGTTTCTTTGGATGTCAAAGATCACACCGGTAATTCTGTTACACTATCATTGTGATCTACTCACTCATTCTTAATTGTCTGATAGTATTTTTAGACCCATGTTTATGAGATTTGTTATTTTGACACTCAGTTTCCTAAATTTGACTGCATTTTAAACGTCACAGTTGACGGCGAGTTGTGGCTTAATGATTAGTGACTTATTGAATTTTTACGCCATCATAATATCGTGGTAGCAATCAGTATTTGAAAGGAATTACTTTCCATGGAACTATACTGATAATCCTAGTTGATTTAAATTTTTCTAACAAATTTTAAAAGACATTACACTAAAAAAATAAGTAATAACTAAAGCTGCAGATTTTGACTGATGAGTTGTTTCCTTCATTTGGAGGGATCTGTTACGCATGCATGTAAGCAGGTCATTTCGATGTGCTTGAATTATTACCAGTTACTCTTATTCGGTAAACGAGAGCGAGGATCGTGGATCCGGCAACACGACAGGCTGCTCTAATCCGATTGTCCGAAACCCCTCATATTAGTAAAATAAGAAGACCTTATATGAAGTAGAACCTGTATTCTACAAGCATCCAGAAAGTACAAGGTTCGAGTAAAGAATAGTCTAAGGATCCGGGTCATACAACGTTACAGATAATGCGTGTTAATACCGTTAGGTCGAATGGGAAACAACGTTTGAAGTGATATTGATAGTCAGGATAACCGATGGGAAACATTGAAGTCCGTGACATTGATATCCAGGACGACCGGTAGGAATTAACCAATAGGAATGGACCAATAATTCTCTTGTGATATTGGATAAATATCCTACCAGGATCACATATCACTTGAAGGCTCAATTGTATGAGACAAACAATTGTGGTTTGCAGCTATATTTTGAGCGAGTGAATTAGTCATCAATCCCAAGTTACTGCTTAGATGTTCCATCTGATCTTATTTCTTATCAATACACATGAATTGATGAATCGAATTGTCATATTCTTCATAATTTTGTACTTCTATGACTATTTAGCTAGTTGGTTAGGTGTTATGAGATTGATAGCTAAATTTACTGTCTTTATATCGTATCAAAATTAGCGCCACTTTTGATCATTTGCGAAATTACGGTGATTTCGAACATTTTCAGATATATCAGTTGTTCTGACAGTCATCAAGTCAACAATTGATGTACTTACTAAACATAACGATTTGTTAACTTTATCACTGAGAGTGGTTAGTTGTGTTCGCTTGAGCGCGGACTTCAGATGCGTCCCTTCTAATGAAACAGTGCCATACTAAGG